CCCCGCTTATTTGTTCCCAGCCACCCAGACTCCCAAAATAACCACACAGAAACTGTATAGCTCTAACTTCTTAACTGCTAGCTCTTACATATTAATTTAACCCATTTCTATTAATCCGTGTATTGACACGAGGCTGTGGCTTACCGGGTAAAGTTCCAGTGTCTGTCTCCGGTAGGGCTACATATGCTTCTCTCTGACTCCACCTCCTTTCTCCCAGCATTCAGTTTAGTTTTCTCCACCTAGCTCTGTTCTGCTCTGCTCTAGGGCCAAAGCAGTTTCTTTATTCATTAATGGTAATCACAGCACACAGAAGGGACTCCCACATCAGGGAGAGGTACTCTGGCACTCACACAGAAGTCAGAGACATAGCTCCAGATTTAGGGAGAGACTCTATCTCAAAAAACAAGGTAGAAAGGAGTTGAAGATACTATGCATCAATCTCTGACCTTCCCAGGCACAAGGTGGATACACAAAGAAGTGTATGTACACCTACATACACACACACACACACACACATACACACACACACACACACACACACACACACCATGCACACAGGGGCGGGGGCAGAATGAATCAATTTTATCCTAGTCAAACTGCTTGAAAAACAACCTCCCTAGACACAAGTTTTAGCATTAGGTCAAAGAACAGCCTTAGGGGGTCCAGAATAATTCTGGTACCAGGAGTCACATTTTAAACTAAGTGTTCAAAGATAAACTGAAGTAGTCATCATATTTTCAAAGTGCTACCCCTTCTTAAAAAAAAATAAGGATAAAAAGTTGGTGCTGAAGAAAGCTGCTTAGGAGCTGGAGAAGTGTGCCTGCATCAGGTCTACCACTGTCCAGGTGTGATACCTCTGAAGGAGCGGGCATCTTGGGCGGGTCTGGAGAAGGGAGAGCCCACTTGGGTAGCAGTCTGGCCAGAGCCTGGCTGGAAGCTTGAGCTGGTTTCTCTGCCTCCCAGGTCCCTCACTCAGGTACCATGGAGGAAGGAGCCCTACCACAACAGCAGCGCCCTCTAGGGAGTTACTTATGAAAAAGCATCCCTTATCCCACATCATCTTCTCTTAGAGCAACCAGAACGCAATGTTGCACTGGTCAGCCAACTTGTGGTCTTCCTATGGGTCTCAGGTCAAATTCATGTCCCCAGAGAAATCTTTCCCCAACACCCTCACTGGATAAGTCTCTCTCCCTGTGCTACCCTCCTCCCCAAACAGGACACACCTCCAATCCCACCCAGCTGCAGTGGCATTTGAAGACTGTCAGTCTGTCTCCATGTGAGCATGCCCCATGAGGACAAAGACCCTGCCTGGCCTCTCACCAGGATACTGAAAACAGCACCCAATGACTTTACCACCTCCACCCAGGAAGTTACATTCTTATTAATGGCAGTCTTTATCTGCCACTTATTCCTCATGTCTCAGGCGTTATCTTGGGACACCCATGCTTTCTGACATTTGTTATGCTGTTCTGGTCTACAGATGAGGAAGCTGAGTCTCAGGTAGATACGGACAAGGATGCAGGAGATGAAAGTCTATGAGCACACTCCCTTCCGTGCTCACCCAACTCTGACATCTGTACTGTGGTCTTCTGTCCCCTCAGCCAAGAGGCAGAGGCAGGAGCTGAATCTTGTCTTCGTGACTGAAACGCATGCTCTCAGCTGCGTGTCATTCTGCAGCCAGCTGGTTCCCAAAGCAGCAGCCATCCTGAACACGGCCCTCTCATCCCTCCTACTATGGTCTTGTCAAATGCCAAGGCCTGTGAGACCACACTCTCCACCTTATCATGTCATGAGACTCTATGACCCTGAGAACTACAGTTACAAGAACAGAAGACAGACAGCATCCCAGCCACCACCTCTCCCCCAGGCACCTAAGAGTCAGAGCACCAAGTTTGCCCCTCAGTAATGCCCACTCTGCTTCACTTTTCTTGACAAAAATAATGAAATTCTAACTACTTACATAAGACCAGGAAAGGCACCAAAGTGCACTAGGAAGTAACTGATATTCTTCAAACATTCTCAAGGGGGGCATTAACTCTGAGAAAGGATCTCAAACAGTGCAATACCAACACCCTGAGCTAAAGTTCTCAATATGATCTCTTGCAAAACCAGAGTGCACGGCCCAGGGTGGGCCAGTGCTTCTGTGAGATCTGTTTTCCATCACTTGACCTGGCCTGTCCCCCCTGGTGTCAGAGAGAGCACACAGACAGTAGCAATTCCTTTGAGGAAGGCTAGGGAGATGACTTAGTGAGCAAAGTGCAGACGGACAAACATGAGGGCCTGGATTCGGATCCCCGGTACCCATGTAAAAACTAGGAGCTTCAGCTGGGATTATGGGGAAATGGGTAGATCCCTGGAGAGCATTGGTTAGCCAGTCTAGCAGAATCGATGAGCGCCATGTTCAACGAGAAACTTCGACTCAAAAATTAAGGTGGAAAGTGATTGAGGAAGACACCCAAAATCAACTCTGGCCTCCACACATACACATGTGTACCTCCACACACAGAGAGACAAATACAGATGCTAAACACGCATTCTCTTGCACACAAGGAAGATAGGATAGGCAGTCCGAGAGGGTGCAAGAACCCTGCTAGGCTTCGAGTGGGGGATACATAACGTTTCTTGTTGTGTGTAATAGCAGAACTTCAAGCAGAGGTGTGGCATGGTCTAATTGACAAAATAACAGTTGCCGTGGTCATAGCGTCTCTTCACCACAGTAGAACAGTGATGAACACAAAGGGGTTTGTTGTGAAGATAAGCAGCTGACCTTGCTTCCTGGGTGCCATCTGGTGAGCACGTTTCTTCTGCCGTATGTTCCCCCATAATAGAGTACCCCACTGCAGGTTCCAAAGCAAACAGGCCAAGCAATCAGTGACTGAGACCTCAGACGCCAGAAGCAACCATAAACCTCTCTCCTTCTGTTTGTCTTAGGTATCTTGCCACTGTGGCTTAAACTGAGGACCAGGGGACACCTTCGCTTCTCTGTTCAGCTAGTCACTCAAAATTTCATTGGCACTTAGTCTCATTAGTCCTTTCTTCCAGGAAAGTATACATCTTGGTCCAGATTAATGTTCATCTTTACCCCCAAGAAAGTATAAGCCTAAGCCTCTTTAAAAAAAAACTTCCACATGCAGAAGAATGAGACTAATCTAGGCATGGGGTTATAGGCCTTTAATCCCAGCACTTGGAAAGCAGAGATAGGTAGATCTCTGTGAGTTCAAGGCCAGCCTGATCTACAGGACCAGTGAGTTCCAGAACAGTCAGGAATACATAATAGAGAGAGCATGTCTCAAAAAACAACATCAACAACAAAAAAAAAAAACAAAAAAAAGAAAGAAAGAAAAGAAACTCAATCCCTATCGTTTACCACACCAAAAAAAAAAATCAATTTAAAACTGATCAAATACCTTAACATAAGACCCGAAACTTTGAAGTTAATAGAGAAAAACACAGGGAAGACATTCAAAATGCATTCACAACTAAGGGCTTTCAGTACACTGATAGCACAGGAAATAATCCCAACAATTGGAAATGGGATTCTATGAAATTGGAGAACCCAAAGACAAACATATAGTCATCCTCCTGGATATTAACCTTCATCAGGCGATGAAAGGAGACAGAGACAGAATCCCACATTGGAGCACCGGACTACAACCCCAAGGTCCAAATCAGGAACAGAAGGAGAGAGAGCATGAGCAAGGAACTCAGGAACGTGAGGGGTGCACTCACACACTGAGACAATGGGAATGTTCTTTCGGGAACTCACCAAGGCCAGCTGGCCTGGGTCTGAAAAAGCATGGGATAAAACCGGACTCGCTGAACACAGCGGACAATGAGGACTACTGAGAACTCAAGAACAATAGCACTGGGTTTTGATCCTACTGCACATACTGGCTTTGTGGGAGCCTAGTCTGTTTGGATGTTCACCTTACTAGACCTGGAAGGAGGTGGGAGGTCCTTGGACTTCCCACAGAGCAGGGAACCCTGACTGCTCTCCAGGCTGATAGAGAGGGGGAGTTGATTGGGGGAGGGGGAGGGATATGGGAGGCGGGGAAGAGACAGAAATCTTTAATAAATAAATAAATACATACATACATACATACATAAATAATAAAAATCCTTTGCACAGCAAAGGAAATCACCACCAGAGAAAAGACACAACCCATGGAAATAGAGGGAAAATCTTTTTTCACAACACATTAGATGGTGAGTTAATATCTAGGATTTGCAAAGAACTACAAAGTTGAATATCAAAACATCCAATCATCAGGTGGTGGTGGTGCATGCCTTTAATCTCAGCACTTTGGAGGCAGAGGCAGGTGAGTCTGAGAAATATTCACCTAGGCAGTGTTTATCTGTAGTTGGATGGAATATTCCTAAGTCTTTGCAAAGAAGAAAATGCCACCATTTCTGATGATGTGACCAAACCAGGAGGCTATTCTGCTATGTGAAATAAGCCAGATGTTGAAAGACAAACACTACACGATCTCACTTTTAAGTAAGTTCTTTAAAAGTAGAAAGCGCAGAAATAGTAGAAAAGGGCCTACAATGGGAGAGGGAGACAGGTGAGGGTTCAGGGAGATAGCTTTGCAGTTAGGAGATGCATAAATTCTGGAGGTCCCCTTCCCCCCCCCAAAAAAAAAAGAAAAAGGGAACAAGAAAGTTCTATTCCATTTGGACAGTGCTGGGCTGGTCAACCCCACTCACTGAAGCGTCTGTGCCAGGGTCAGGGAGAGGACTCCTACTGGATGACCCAACAGTAGCTCTGGTGAGTGTCTCCAAGCAACCAAGCTTGCCTCTGCAGCCCTGGCCTCTTGCATCTGCTGGCCATGTGAGCTAGCCCTGGGAGCGGCTGCCAGAGCCATTTGCACCACCTCCCACAGCATGCTGGGGGCAGCTGTGGAGCCACCTGCCTGAAGAAAGCCACAAGCCCGCCCATCTGGGCGGCCATACTCACAGTCAGCTGCCTGGCTCTGCTGGACCCTTGCTGACACCTGCAGGCTCAGGTGCCAGCTCCTGAGATGAATCCACTCTGCAGGTTCCTGGTCCTCCTCCTGGCATTGTTAGCCTTGCCCTCAGGCCTGCTCAAGCAGCCTTGGCCCGGACTGACCACAGCCTACAAGAATGGAAGGCCTACCCTAGCGAGAAGTGAGCTTACCCCTGGGCATGGCCTGCTGTCCATAGGGTGTGGGGAAGGCACAGCCTGGGCCCCACCACTAACTGCTGAACCACCTTGGGTCAGCCTCTCGTCTAATCAATTCATTTATTTATTATTTGTTTGTTTGCTTGCTTATTTATTTATTTTTCCCTTTTACCTTAAGTAAACAAAATCGAGTCTGAGTTACACTTTTCCAATTCATGGCATACGGTCTCTTGTTTTATGTCATTTTCTCTTTCTCCCTTATCCTATTCCCATTCCCTTACAGACCTTGTCAGGAACTGCCATGTACTTAGCATGTGTGTCTATGTCTGTATCCAGCAGGGCATGGTTGTGCATGTCTTAAATCCCAGCACCTGAAAATCAGAAACAGACAAATCTCTGAGTTTGAGGCCAGCCTGGTCTTACATGGTAAGACTCTGTCTTAAAACAGCAAGCCTTGCCTGCATCCTTTGCAGGAAGTGTTTTAATTCATATGACCCTGACTGGTCACTTGCTCTGCTTTTCACTTCTTGCTCTACTGCTGGCATCTCAGTTGCCTTGGCTGCTGCACGGAAGCCCACACATTCATTACCTCCATGTAATTAACTGCTCCCTCGTGCCTGTCACCTAAACTGTTTGTATCTTCCCATTGCTGTAAGCAACAATGACATGAATGACCTTGGACATATCCCTGTTAGAACATGTGGGAGAACTCTTCTTGGATAGAGATATCCAGAAGAGATGTAAGCTCGATTTAGTTAAAAATGTTGGAGTCTTCTTTAAACTGTTGTGCTGTTGTACACTCATCTCACTTGTAAGAGAACATATCTCCCCACTACTGGAGGGCATCCACCTGTATCAACCAGTCAGTGCTGCGAAAGCAAGATGCCATAGATAGGGTGGACCTGGGGTGGTGGCAGTGGGGTCAAACAAAAGATGGTTATTTTTCACATAGTTCTGGCAGTTGAAAGTTCAAGTTGAAGGTGCTGATATGTTTGGTATCTGGGGAGGGACCTCTTTTGCTGGCTTATGGATGGCACCCTGTCATAGTCTTTCAGAGAAGGATTATACCTGATGTCTTCCTCTTCCAAATACACCAGTTCTATCAAATTAGGACCGACCCCTTGACCTTATTTAAATGTATTTACTACCAGGAAGGCACTATATCAAACACGGTTGTTCCTAGATACCCATGGGGATTGGTTCCAGGTTTCCCCTTAGATCCTAGAACCTTTGGATGCTCAAACCCTTTGCATAAAATGGTACGGTGTTTTCACAGAACTGATGCAAATCCTTCCTCACACTTGAAATCATCTCCAGATTACTCATTAGATCTTAGACTATGCAAATACATGTAAATAATTTATGAATTATTCAATAGATAACAGCAAGAAGAAAGACTGGGGATGCTCAGGACACAGGCAAATTTTCCAGATATTTCCAATCCATGGTTGATTGGATCTGCAGACAGAACAGAAGGTGGGCAGTATTCCTGCAAAATGGCACCTGTTGACTTCACCAAACAAGAACAGTTTTAAAATCACCAATATCTCATGATATAGTTTGTGTTTGGAGTCTGAAGGTCTCCCCACATCCGGGAATCACTCTAGCTGTCTCTTTCAACACTGTTCTAGTTTTACCTTCCACACTGAGGATGTTAATCCGCACAATGGATATTTATCTCTGTGTGCATCTGTGCATGGAAAGTAAAGAATCAACTTCATTTCTGCCCACATGAGTCAGCTTCCCAGACCATCTACTAAATGGCCAAACGGCCAAGCCAAGACTCCTCCTTGTTCTCCACCTGCTTAGAGAGCTGCCTCTGTAACCTAACACTTTCATTGTTGCATCTTTGTGGATCACTGCTTTTTCTGACAGACTTTTCCTATTCTTACGTATGAATTTTCAAGGGTGTTGAGTTGTTCTCAAAGTCTTCCTCTGGACATCTGATCACACCCACATTCAATCTGTCTGTATATTTAGAAGAATGAGTTTCTTCACAATGGGAGACCCTGCCCATAGGCTTAGTGTGTTGTTAATCAGATTTTGCTCTATGCCCCATAAAATCTTAGAAAAGTTTTGAGCGTAGTTTCTCAAGTTGATTTCTTGAGAATGTGTAGTTTTTGTTGCAGAGTAGATGACTTTCTTTTTTAATTTCTTTTATTTGCTTTTATGTGCATTGGTGTTTTGCCCGCATGTATTGTGAAGGTGTCCGAGATCTTAGAGTTACAGGCAGTGGTTAGCTGCATATGGGTGCTGAGAATTGAACCCAGGTCCTCTGAAAGAGCAGTCAATGCTCTTAACCACTAAGCCATCTCTGCAGTCCATTTCTGTATCATAATCCAAACTGATGGTTTTGGTTTTTGCTTTTGGTGTTGTTGTTGTTTCCGAGAGATCCTCAGCCACAGTTTCTACTAGGAAACTTCTTAAAATTGATTCATTTCTTCTCTGTGGGAGACTTGGAGACATGAATAAGTGCTCAGAAGAAAGAGGATCCCCTGGGCTCACACCAGGCCTATTTTCCCTGTACCCCACTCTTACACAGCAATATGAATATCACCATCCCTTCTCCATTCCCAGTTATCGCACAGGGCCTCCTGAAGCACAACGCTGAAGGCCGAATCCAGAGTATGCAACTCCTGGACCGTCTGAATGTCTCAGGGATAGTGGCCCCAGGGATGGTAGGCTGGCTGATTGGTGGCATGAACTTCCAGCAGCAGCAAGAGATCAGGTGAGACCTTGAATCCCTCTCTAGACTCTGGGGGCACTCTGGGGGCACTCTAGGGACCTCTGGGTCAGAGGACAAAACAGAGAGCAAGGCTTCTGAAGAAGGAAGGCATTCAAACTCAAGGAAGGCAAGACACGAAGCCCGAATGTGAGCAAGCTGGAGGCGTCTGTCGGGAGCTGTTTGGGAAGGTGGCACAGCAGGGCTGTTAGCAATAACAGCTCAGTAGCAGATATGTCTGCAGTACTTCAAGCCCACCTTTGCCCCCAACTTTGGGGAAATTGTTTGGCCATTCCAACCTCACCTGTAAAATGGGGACACAGAACAGAGCCTGGATAAACATCTGGGTATCAAACAAGGCCAGGGCTGCAACTAGACCCTGGAACCCCTATTCAAGTGGGGCATAGCTTTGTGGCTCCGCATAAGTAGTAGATTACACTGCTCACAAATCTTGGGTTCTCATCAGGTAAACAGTCACAGTGATAGTCCTACTGGAGGAGAGGCTAGAAACCCTGACAGTCCTGCACAGAGCTTCTGTGGTAAATACATGGGATAGATAACCCTTGGGAGCTGGGGTTTCCATGGCAGTACTGGATACATCCCACCCAGAGCCACTGAGACTGCTCCCTTGAACCTTCTACTTCCCAGGTCTCCGTTCTGCCCTGGAAGTGCCATTCTATTGTATAGTTTGTATCTTATTCCAAGAGTAGGGACCAAACAGGGGACAAGGGGCTGTATGAAGGCCACCCAGGCTGCCTAGGTAACCCAGGAAGGAACTAAAGAGGTGGTGTGAGCAGTGGAGGTGCTCACACTCATGCATATTGCAAGTAGGTCAAGGTGGTTTGCAGGCAGCAAGTGGGGGTGGAGTGTGGAACCGAGGAGCTTCCCTGCGGAGTCCCAGACAGATGACACAGCAGTCTATCGTGAAGGGAGTCTCGGTCTGAGAGGGGGCCCAGTGTCCTGGGATGGAGGGTCCTGTCCGTCAACATCTGGCTCTGGACTGCACAGTCCACAGCTGTGGGGAATGTTTCCGGAGCCCTGGGAAAGCTGGCCGCCCAGGCTGCCAGAGTCTCTGCACCAAGCTCTGATTCCCAGCCCCTCCTTGCAGCCAAGGCTGGCCTCGCTTCTGAGTTGCCATGCCTCACCTTGGTGGGGCTTCTCCTTTTTCTACGGGTAGCATCAACATCACAAATGTGCAACTGGACTGTGATGGGATCCAGATGGCGCTGCCTAAAGAGTGGTTCTCGACAAACATCACACTGGAATTTGACATTGAATTCCGACTGTGAGTCCTATCCAACAAAGCAGTGTTTCTCAGGCACTATTCCTCCTTCTTGGGGGACCTGGGAGCTCAGGGTGGGGTGAGGCAGGGTGATAGACTAGGAAAGCCATATCAGGGGACCCCAACTCAAATCCTGACTCCCTGCACTGACTTACTGTGGCCTGGGATGAGTCACTCTGCCCTGAACCTTGGTTTCTTCTTCTGCAGCAAAGATAAGATGATGCTCATAGTGAAGGGGTCATTTGTGAGATCACCAGGAAGGTCCCATGGAAGAATGGGGTAGCCACTCTTCCTCTCTCTCTGCTCATTTCTCTCCTGCTCAAACTTCCTGTAAGGGAGTCAGGAGCTGCACCCACTTGGAAAAGTTCTTAAAATAGCAGCTTACTCTAAACTCTTGAATTTCCCAAAACTCCTAAAATGACCTCCTTAAGCAACTTTCAAATGTCACTCCAAGTTGGAAGTGGGGAGGGGTGTGGGAGTGGGAGTGGGTTCAGGGGTAGAGCCCACGCTTAGCTCGCCCGGGTTTTGCATTCCGTTTCCAGCACCAGAAAAAGAAAACCAAGCATAGAGGTATCCACGGTCCATGGCTGCTTTCTCCTTACTCACTAACCTAGGCTTTAGCAGACACGGTTGTTGGGAGGACAGTGGGTGGTGCCTGGCTTTGCTGCTCTTCTTGCTGGCTTCCCCCACCTCCTTCTCCATCCCTTCTGCCTCCTCCTCTCTCACCACAGGCCCTTCAATTCTAATATCATCAAGACGCATGCCCGCATGGGCCTTGCTGCAGAGTCCTGGCTGGAGAAAGATGAGTTTGGCCGGAGGGAGCTGGTGATGGGCAGATGCCACATGGAGCCCAACAGTGATGGTGCATCTATGTCCACTGAGTAAGGCCTCCCGCCCTTTTGGGGTATCCCAGACCCATGAGCAGTTGTGGCTTATATCGTCCCCCCATGTCCTCATGAGGCCAAGGCAGACTTCATCACTTCACCAGGACTTGCTCCCCCTGTGCCCCTCTCCCAGAAACCCTATGGTCACTGACCCCACCCCATTCTCCACCCACCACAGAAATAAGTCTCTCCCCTTGGTTCCCACCCCAAAACCTTTGAGAAGAATAGCAAATTCAGGAAAGCCTCCTGAGCTTTCTGTCCTCACCCCTGCCTGGTTCTGTGACCATTTATCCTCTGCCACCGGTCACTCGCATAGCGATATCTCTCCGAGAATGCCTTTCTGGTCTTTTTAAGCACCTTATGAAGATATGTCCAAGTATTGCTCCAGAAGTCCCTAGTGCCAGGCTCCCAGCCTAATGAGACACCAGGATGAGCAAGGCAGACACAGGAGTTGCAGGGAGGTCTAGGGATGGCGGATCAGCTGTGTGTCTCAACACACCACGGTGAGGAGTGTGCTTACTTCTCCCTGTAATTCCAGAGTGCTGGGCCACAACGCTTTCATGCTTGCCCACATAATCATCAGGCTGTGGTGCCAGCTTAGGCTGCAGCAGACATTGGCAAGGAAGAGGAAGACCATGAACTCTAGTGCTTTCCTGCCATGGTCCTGCGAAGAGTCGGCACTTACTCTCTGCGTGACCTTGGCCATGTCATGCCCCCTCTCTGGGTCCCCATTGACTAAAGCTAGCAAGAATACCTCCCTAGAAGGTCAAGTAAGGATTTGGAATAGGAGAGTGTATTCAGTACCTACCTCCCAGCGTTGGTGCAGCCTGGACTGATTTATTCTGTCCTGAATTCCCACCTCTTTTCCTAGGGAAGTCCCACCCAAGATGAAACATTTTCTCCACAACCTCCGAGAAAGCCTGGGGAAAGTTATTCCGAACCTAGTAGAAAGTCAGGTAAGGTATCCAGGAGTTCCACCTGCCCTGCAGGCTTCCCTGAGTCTGAGGATCAAGGCACACGTCTGGGTAATTTAACAGAGATCTTCTAACCCTGGGCTTTGGGACCTAACAGCAAATCCCAATTGCCATGAGATTATTACCACAAGCAAAGGACAGCCACCCTAAGTTTCCCATATCCTCATGTGTGGCACAGGCAGCTGAAGTCCCCACCTCAGAGTTGTGAGGCTTTAGGCTGTGGGGCAAGGATGTGCTGTTCATGGCTCCTAATGGTTGACTGAATCCTGCTAGAATCCAGGGGTTCAGGGGTTTCTTGCCTCAGAAACCTCAGTTCCTTCTTATCCCTGATTAATCGTCTTTGTGGTGGGGACCTAGGTATGTCCTCTGATCGGTGAGATCCTCCGGCAGCTGGATGTGAAGCTGTTGAAAGGCCTCATGGGTGAGTTGGGGTCCAGCCTGGGAGGCCTCTTTGGGACTGGCAGATACTAAGGGAGGGGCCCTAACTCTCATATACTGTGAGAATATACTATAGGGACTCTATTGCAATGTCCCCCCAAGAGAATGGGAAGAATAGAAGGAACCCCTGCCAACCAGGTTGTACCCTACCCAGAGAGTCTAGCTTTCCCCAAGAACTCTATAAGTCTAGTAGGGAGAACACTCTGATCTAAACTCAAGATGACTCCTGCCCCAGAGACAGGTGGACTGCTTCAGCCCCTGTTCTGATGGAGCTCACCGTCTTGGGAATAGAAGGCAGGAAGTCATCCATCAGGGATGTCAGTGATGGGAATGTTCTTGGCCCCAGTCCTTGGAGGATGGACGGGAAAACTCTCCCTTCTCTGTGGACCTGGGGATCAGAAGGGTCACCTAGAAACCAAGGCTCCCCTTCTCCTTTTAGAACAGGTGGCTGCTCATAATCTTGGTCAACTCTGAATCAGCCAAACCCCTCGGGTGCCAGGCTTGAGGGGCCTCCCACTACCTGCCTTCGGTCAGAAGAAGGTACTTCCGGTTGAGACCTTAAGTCTCTCTTAATGTGGGTTTTCTGCTGTCCCCTGGAAACATGAGCCCCAGGTTCCAAGACATCCTGTCCTCTCCAACAATAAACGCTAACTCTGAAGGATACACTAGCCCCACCTGGAGGGTACACCACCACCTCTTCACCCCACCCTGCCTTGAGCTTTAGTGTAAACATCCCTGCTTTGCTTGCCAGCCCAGTAATGGTGGGGAATGCCCACTCTAGCCTGTTGTTGGCAGCCAGGGACCTTGCTCAAAGCAGGGAAGGGCCAGTGATGTCTCCATCCTCATTTGCTTATAGATGTTTAGCGAGTACCTACTCTGGGCCATGTCTGTTGCTGTGCTCCCAGAGGTCACAGAGGAAGCATAAGAGCAAGAAATCAAAAGAGACCCAGGATCAGACCAGATTCAGCTCTATAAAGGCAACCAGTGTCCTCAGTACCCACGCAAAAGAAGGCAAGAGGGCAAGCTCAGCAAAGCTGGTTTGGGGCACAGATGAGTGGGTGACTCCTGAACTTAAGGACTCACTATCTGTGTCTTAGACAAAGACCCTCCCTTTGGTCATTGTCACCTGCAATGTGGGACTAACGGTTTTTCAGGACCCACAGCACACTGCTGACGTCAGGGAAATCACACCAACACTTCAGGACACTGGCCCCATTCAGTCAAGCTGAGCTTTGCACCTGGTTAGTCATGTGGCAGGGTCCCCACAAGGTGTCAGAAGACAAGGGTGTTGTGGTAGCCATGCTTACAATAGCCCTAAAGCAGCAATATTCCTGATCAGCTACAGAAGACTGACAGGCAGGTAGGAAGGCAGCAGAGCCACATGCTGTGACAAAATAGTTGACAAAAATGGCAGCCCACTTCACACAACAGTTTGGGTGAACCTTCCGAAGTTACATCAGAAAAGTCCAACCTGAAGCGCACGTGTTGCAACTCCAGTGACACAGGACAAAAACAACAAAGCTAACGCACACTGCTAGAGGGTAATTACGGTAGGGCGAGGCCCGGAAACAGGGAGGGACTTCCAGAGAAGTGGTCATGGTCTATTTCTTGGCCTGGTGCTGGCTGTGGGGAAAAGTGTTCCATCTGTGGAAAGCTCATTCAGTTATGTGTGTATGTACCTTTTTATAAGACATAATATATTCTAACAATGTTTAAAATAAAATATTTAGCATGAAGCACATGTGTGTGGGGTATATGAAAGAAATATTTGCAAGATATTGTCTATGTGGAAAATGTTTATTCAAGGCCATTGAGTTCATTGTTAACTATCCACCTACTAGCTACTCTGTGATTGAGTGTTGATTCCCACACTAATCCATCAAAAGTTGAGGATCAATATCACATATTAATAATAACAGCATGGCTAGAAAGATGGCTCAGTGGTTAAGAGCTCTTACTGCTCTTCCAGAGGTCCCAGTTTCAGATCCCAGCACCCAAACTTAACTGCCTGTAATTCCAACTCCAGGAGAATCCAGTGCCCTCTTCTGGTTTCCATGAGAGTACACATGGCATACACACACATACACAGAAATAAAAAGAAATCTTTAAAAGTAAATAATAGTAGCACATGTTATAAGCACATGACAAGTCTTCAGCATCTCATTAAATGCCTCACAGCGACTCTGTGAGGTGTGAAACTGTCTCCTAGCTTAAACACGAGAATTCCGAAAGAGAGAGTCACTCGCCTAAAGTCACACAAAGAGGAACTGGCCATGTCAGCCCGGTCAACCCCATCAGTTACGTGCTGGCAGCAAGATTCCAAAACTCAGACTCTTAATTGTGAACCCCAACCCCCCAGGTCTTTCCTCCCTCCCTTCTAGCCCCCCTCCAGCCTTCTCACTCACGGGGGGGGGGGGGGACTGTGATGAAATTCAGGCTCAGGAGAATTGACAAGCTCAAACAAGGAAGTCTTAAGTGCTCAGAGCTGAGAAGAGGGCCAGAGAACTCCTCGTCTCCATCTCTCAATTCAAACTCCCTAATCCGAAATGCTTCACCGGGGATTTGCAACCCTAAACACCATGTTCCTGAACATTCCACTTGATAGCCTTTGGCTTACCGGGTTCTTCCTGCTCTTGAGTCAAAGAACAAACACAGGAGGGCTAGGCCGAAAGGTTGCCCGCTCCCTTGGGGGATGGCTTTTGTCTGTATTCCTCCTGGCACCTCCGGGGTTGGCTCACAGTCTCCATCAAGATGGCTCCTTGGTGTTCTCCATCCTGTCTTTGTTTCAAGGTTCTCAGAGACAGTGCCTTTCCACGTTTGCTCCCAGAACACCTTGTTTGACTATGGACCCCTCTGGTGCTCTTGGGGTCCACAGTGATGGGTGGATAAAGCAGATATTTATCCCCAAATAGTCAGAACTTTTTTCCATGTCCTACCTCTGGGTGCCTTAAACCTACCTTGCCCTTTGGTGTCCAGGCAGCCTTTGAATCAACTATGTAGCTGGCGCTTACACCACTTTCCCTAAACTTTAACCTCTCATAGCCTTGGGAGGTGTTTGTGGTTAACTCCATGTTATAGGTGAGGTAACCTAACTCAAAGACAAGCCTTGAAAATGCTCTAGAGATTTCCCTCATGGTCCCTATGGCTAGCATTGTTATATCTCACATTCTAAAGTCCACAAAGGGAGTAGCCTTCAGCTTGAGTTAGTACCACATTTTTTTTTAATTTAAAAATGAATGAAACAGAAAAGAAAGAGAAAAAGAAAAGGAAGAGGAGAGAAACGTTTTTCCCAGCATCATTCAGTTGGTGATGAGTCCTATCAGATTTGGAACTCTGTGCTCGCTGACATCACGGCCCATAGGAGGCTTCCAGAGAAGACGGTCAGTTCCTTCAGAACTGAAGACTCTGTAAACTTGTTCTTGAAAGGCACTGAAACAATACAGCCCTAAATGATGACAGCCTGTTGTCACCTTTCTCTAGCTGAGGTGACCTCAGGCAGGTCACAGCCTTATCTGAACTTCAGTTCCCCCCTCCCAAAGGAGTGTGATAAGTGGTTTAAGTCCCCAGTGCCTCCTCAGAGGGCTTTGCCACTGCCTGTCCCTGATGCTGGTGAGGTCAGTCTCAAGGGTAGTTTGCCTGTGGCTAACACTCCTGAGAAGACCCATTTTCTCATCAAATTCCCTTTCTCCCTTCCTCCCTCCCCCAACCCCTCCTGCCAACTGGAGTTTCCAAGTTCATCTGAAATCCTTCTCAAGTTTACCTCTCGTGTATCCTATTCCCAAGTTCTATAGAATGAACCTGGAATACAGTTTCCTTTTAACAAGAAAATTCCGCTTTGCTCTTTAAAAATGGAGCCTATGTGGGCTGGGCTGTAACTCGTGGCCTTTGGGGTGTCTTCTACACCACTCTGCTACATTTTTCTTAAGAAAGCACCCTGATAGATTTTTCTTAGGCCTCTGCAAACTATATCCTTCTGTTTGTAGTTAATTTAAAAAACAAAGCAGAACTGTGATGCACGCACGCCACCAGTATAGGCTCCTACTTACGATCCGTCGGGCGGGGAGTAGGGGAGTCGTCTCTGACATGTGGGCCTCATCAGTGTCACCTGGTACGGAAAGCTGGGTCTAGAACATCAGCTGTGAGTCCTGCTGTTGAGTGTCTGCTCGGGAACTTCCCTGCTGGCACATCAAGCATGCAGCCCATGGAACGCCTCAAGGAGCAATTCCAGCCAAAGCAGAAATAGGGACTTTACATCTCCTAAGTCTAGGGTTTGGGCCTAGTTAGTGAGAGCAGATGGGTGGATAGCCAGGACAGAATGGATGGGAAATGTTTCAGACCGACATGCCCTGGCCCCTGCTATGATGGTCGTATTAGGTGAGAATTCATACAAGTTCACACTGAAAGAAGAGCACCTTTAATGAATGCTACCCTAGTGTGTTTACCTCAACTGGGATTTTTAAAACTCAGGGCAGAGAGCTGAAAGTAAACACATGAGGGCATAAAACAAGAGTGCCCAGCCTCAAGACTGGACAATTCCCTATCTTGGAATGGGGATGGGAGGAATGCGAGAAAAACTGAAGAGAACACAGCTCCAGGGGGGCCAAGAGGCATGACACACTGCCTCTCTCCCCGCAAGACAGAACTCAGCATGGATGGATGCAGGAAACTCCACAGACGTGCTGAGTGGGGGACAGAGGGTGCCTGTGCTCACACCCCTGCCCAGGGCCAAGATGGTGAGTGTCTCAAGGAGAGCCGGTGAACCAGAGAGCTTAGGTGGGGACGGGCAGCTGAGCCAACAGCCCCCCATAGTCTTGCCTCAGAGTTTGGGCATAGACTATGCTGGGTGTCCAAGGAGGAGATGGTAAATGCTAAATCGGAGGAAGCCAGGTGGTCCATGACGCGTCTGTTTTTCCAGTCAAGACTAAGGACAAGGTATCCTCCTCTGAGCACCGTAGTACAGGTAAGGCCCCTGGAGCAGAAATGAGACTTCAAAGGGAAATGAAGACATTTCTGTAACTGAGCAAAATGCTATCAGAAATAGCAGGTGTTGGGTAAATGGGAGGAACGTGTAGACGCCTATACTACCAAACGAGATGCAGACCTCTCCGCAAGTGTGTTCTCCTCGTAGCCCTGAGCTGTGTGACACCATCTCCATCTTACACAAGGGGTAAAAGTTTCCATAACTGGCGGGGGCCCACCCAGGTCAGTATATAGCTAGGACCCAACCTGCCCTGTTTTCTGCTATAACCCATACCCAACCTCTTAGCTTTAAAGATTTCTATTAGCCGAATACACAACCTCAGCTCTTTTCCAGGCCTTATCTGCCTCCATTTGCCCAAAGGTTAGTAGCAAGACCTACTCTCAGACCCGGCTTAGGGGCATGACTGTCATCCCAGCACTCAGGAGTCTGAGGCAGGAGAATCAGTTCAGGGCCAGCTTGGGCTTCATAGTGATTTCAAGGCAATCCCATGTGATATCGCCTGGCCTGGTGGTTCTCACAATTCAAGACCTTGGTCTATACCTGTCTTGGGTTTTCCCTTCTTAGTCCTCATAGTCCTAAGTAGTGGGAAGCAGTGCTTTATTATTTATCTGAGGAAAGTCTAGGGCTAAGGGGGAGATCAGGAGGCTGCATGATAGTACCAGAAAGATGTTTCCAGAACCAAGAAGAGGGAAGTATAATGTGGAAATCAAATTGGAGAGAAGTGTGGGGAAGACTCAAGCCCCAGTTTCTCACTAAAGAACACCCCCCCTCTCGCCAGGATGAATGGACCTGGCACAGGCTAGAGCCTGGCAAGTATTCACTCCTAGCCTTGGTTCCTTGCCATTATTATCCAATGAGTTGACTTCAACCTCTACCACTTCCTCTCTGGACCACTTGTGCTAACCAGGCCCCAGGTTCCTCCTCTGTAAGGAAACAGTAGTGACCTTTTTGTCCCAAGATCTTATGAGTACCTACAAGCACGTGATTGCAATGTACCAGGGGCTTGAAAAACAAAAGCATACACACACACACACACACACACACACACACACACACACACACACACAAATGAATCTGAGGAGTGGTTCAAGATGGGGGGCAAATGTGGTTTGACTCTTAACACTGTGGGAACAAGAGTTTGCCAACCATAGAAAAAGAATGGGACCAGGGGCAAGAGCACACAGGCTAGAGCCAGATCAAGGCTCCTGAGGGTCTGACAGACTGTTCCTTTCAACACTGACCATCTCATCTTCCAGCCCTGTGAGCGTGGGTCTTCAGCCTCTGCCTCATGCATGAAACCATGAAGTCTTGAGTAAGCCTCCATCTCAGATTTTCTTGTTTAATTTGTGGACTGAACAGCTTACCTGACTCACCTGTTAATGTGATTGACAATTATTTACCTTGGAGAGCCCTGAAAGACACTTCCACATTGCAGAAATTGGAATTATCTCGAAGCCCATCAACCAATATCAGGTTTCTCAATTCCCATTCTATAAAAGAGGCTGATTCCTACGGGGCAGAAGCAGATAGGAGAGAGCCCAGGACAGCCGCTGAGATCTCGAGACTCAGGTGAGACCTGTCCCTTCCTCTACTCCACAGATGTTCTGGGGAGCAGGAGGCCATGTGCCTCACTGTAAGCTCGTGCTGGCAGATGGTACCATCACTAACTAGGGTCCTTCCAAGATGGCCTTGGTCAGGGGCAAGGGACTCTGTTCACTCACCTTTCCTAGAGAGGGCAACATTGATGGAGCAGTGAGCTCTCAACGTGCCCGAAGTCAAAGCAGGAGGGAAGGAACTTCAGGTTCCATCACAGTTGAGACGCTGTCTATGGTCATGTGACCTTGGACATTCCATGGCTCTTGATGGTATCCACAAACCATCATGGCCCGAACCATCCAAAGACCAAAGAACCATCGCTTAGCAGAGATGATGGCCGAGCAGTTCAGATCTTCAGCCTCTGCCATGTTGGAGCTTCTTCATCCACACTGGAGAGTCAGGCCATCACAGTCACATGCCCCAGCCCCAGAGTAACTCCAACGGTCACTTAACTACACAGAAGCTTCTGGGTCAGGCATGCTTGACTTCAGCTCCTCTTTCTTCTGCAACCTGTGACACTGGGGGAGACTGCCTGGAGTCACTGGGCCTCTGCTCCAACTGTGCACTAGAGGTTGTCCTTGCCCACGTCTGAGGATGTGGTGACAATGAAGCTGGTGACCGAATGGCTCAGCCTGAGGCCTGGGACAGACGACACTATGGCAGTGTTAGCTGTTGT